CCCTTTTTTTTTTTTTTTAACGTTGGTCTGCCCTATTTTAAATGCATGAAAGATGTCAAGAAGGCCTACTGATCCACTTCTATCTCCTATACAATAGTTTTCACCCAAAGACATGGAAACATACAAAGCCCATTCTTTCTAGAATGGGAGAAAGAGGAACGTGCAGAAGAACTTGTAACAGAAGGAGGGTTTAGGGCCCAGTCGGCTGGAGGACACAGGATCCGAAAGCCTCGGCTGCGACACCACACCTCTTCTGCAGAGGGGGAAGCTGCAGGCAGCAGAGGGGGAGAGACGTGCGTTCAAGAAGCTATCTCTGACCTCAAGTTCCCCGTCCGGCTGAAGACGCCGCAAGTCTCCGGCCCTACCCGTCACCTCGCCAGGACCGATGCGCGATGCTGGCCAATCAGCCACGTCACTGCGGGAACCAAGGGTCAGGCAGGACACCGCCAGCCACAATCCACAGACTGTGAGTCAGGGCCCGTGGGAGTGGCAATGAAGTAAACCCAAACACTACACTCTTCCCTTCCCTGAGATCCACTGTCTTCTAGGAGAGAGACCATTAAAACAGGGCAGTGCTGCCCCACTGAGGCAGATGCCTGATTCCCTACCGGAAAACCACTTTTAGGGTTTCATGCTGCTTGTGGCAAAGCCACGATCAGTTACAGGTCTTGTGGCTTTGCAGACTGAATGCTTCCCCAGACCGACACAACAATCTTCTTGTTGTGTAGATTGTAGTTTGTGTCTAGTTTCCCTTTAGCGTTTAGCAGTGACTTCAAATTCAAATGACTCGCTGGTAATATCTATCATGAATATGCATCAAGCCCTTTCTTAGATAAATAATAATTACTCGGCAATTGATACGCTGCAAGAGAAAAGTATTATGGGTTGGAGAATGGATTTGTATTCAAGGGGAAACTTCCGGAAATGATGTGAGTCGTGGAATGGCCCTGTGCTGGAGCACTGAGGCTTTGTGATCCTGTCACAACGGGGAGGAGGGGACGCTAGGGACTGCCACACCGCCATTAAGGAGACGAGATGAATTCTGTTATTTGACAAAGAGTAATGATTCCCCGCCCCCCCCCCACCCCCAAGTATAAGAAGCCATTAATGACATTGCCTTCTTTTTCTTGCTGTTCTGGAAACACCTGCAAATGCTCCTACCATTAGCACACATCCTTTTGTTTCACCGTCAGAATTTTTTAAAGGCTCCAATCACCTAGGAGCCATGGCACACTGATTCTACTCTCTCCAACCTGGCTGCACAAGTCCTCGAGAGGCTTACGTCTCAGGACCCGTCCTTGTGAGACTGTGTTAAGAGAACTAAGTCTTTTCAAGAACCAAGTCGTTGCAGATCCCGCTCTGGTTAGGCGGCCAGTGCTTTCTCAAGGTGTGCATATGGGAGAGCACAGCTGTGACTGGGCCACCCCTCCACCCCAAGGGTCGTGAGAAGGATAAGCAGGAGAAACAACAGGAATCAGGGAGTGCTCCCCAGAGAAGTCTGCTCCCTGCCGTTCTAGAACGCAGAAAGCCTCAGAGGTCAGCCTAGTCACACAGATCGAGAATGCCAGCGCGTGGAGCTGCCTGGCCAGATCGCACACCACTCCCCTGCTCGTGAGGCCCCGCCCTCCTCATTGCCCTTATCCACGACCCCCTCCCCACCCCACCCAAGAGCCTGACCCATCCCTCAGTCTCAGAATCAGCCTATGAATGGTATGAGCCTATGAAGGTCA